GAAGCTAATTACACTTAATAATGCTGGTGTTGGAATAGAGAACTGCAGGAGAAGGGAAAGTCACCAGTCCAGGGACAGACTATTCCAAGGACATGTTGAGAGCATCATCCTGCTTAAGTGATTCAGTCATTTGACTCAGGAAAGGGAAACTTTGCAGATGTATTATCTCCAGACACATCTTCTCCTAGCTCTTTCCTCAAGGATGTCTGGATAATGGTATCATGTGGTTAGCTGGACAACCTGTGCTGTGTTGTCTGGATGCAACCCCAGCTCTCAGTCTCTGATGGCAATCTTCCCAGCTAAATCATGGTCTTTTACATGTACCAGTGATGCAGACCCAGCAAATATATCAAAACATAAGTGGACTTTTTTGTTAGGTTTTTTGTTGTTGTTTTGTGTGTGTGTGTGTGTGTGTGTGCGTGTGTGCGTGCACGTGTGTGTTAATCACCAGCCAGTGATTTTATTTTAAACAAACATGACAAAGCAAGGGGCCATGACAGCAGGAGCACATTGTAGGAGTCCTGGCACAAATCCATTTGAGCTGTCCCAGGCATTCACGTTCTTTGTAATGCTGGCTATTCCTGCACCAGCAATGAGAGGCTATCTAAAGGTAACCCCTTGCATTTACTTTAGCAAGCCTTTCAGCTGCCTAGTTTTATGGAACTGCTGCCTTCAGCAAGACCAGAAAACTCTGGAAAAGCAAACATTTCTTATCTTCTAGTATTTCTTGGACCTGAATCTCTCCTACCTTTCCCTAAATTACTGTTTTCTTCTTGATAGATCAAGACCCAGAGTAGGATTTTCCATCCCTCTGCCTGGCCACAAGGACTGCTCACTGAGTTTGGAAAGAAAGATAGAGATGATTGGAACAAACTAAGCCTGTCTGCTTTTTTGATACTGTTGGCTCAAGGGAGGCTGTTTCTCTGAACAATTATAATATTGCTAAGCAAGTTCAAAAAGCAAAGAATTCCCTGACTGACTGCAAAGAAAAAAAAAGCCATCCAACTCCCTACAAATATTTTTTTTTTTTAATTCTAATGGTAGAAATAGTGCTGTTTCCAATAGATGGGAGCAATTTGTCCTCAGAGTACCATGATGAGGCTGTGGAGATATCCTTGTCCTCAGAGTACAAGGGACATGCTGAACTCAGAACACCAGGAGACAGGATGCTTCAGTGAGCACCTCATGGCGCAGCACCATTAAAGACTGTGTAATGTCTAAGCAGATTTTTTTTGCCAGAGACATTGTTTTCGTTTTCCAATGAAGGCCAAGGGAGTTGTTCACTCATCCCCTCTGTTAAATCAAATTACTCCTAAGCAGTGCAGCTCCATGCAAGGCTGAACCCTGGGCAGAAAAGCAGACACAAGCCTAAAGACAGCTGTGGGCCAGCCTGGGAGTCAGGGGCTGCTTGCACCAGGGCTCATTTTGGGTCCCTGCCTGCAAAGTGCAGCTCTGTGAATCACTGAAAGCAGGAGAAAGCAGAAGTGTGTGGGAGGTTTGTACCAGCAAAGAATGAAACTTCCTAATTTCAAAACCTGGTTGCCATAGAACAAAAAGCAGTTACTGCAAGTGTTTGGAAAGGGGAGTTTCTTCCTAGTAAACACTTAGGGCAGTGTTTGTTCCTTGCTTAATAAAGCCACTGTAAGAGAGCAGAATTAATTGTAATAGTAGTCTTTTGAAATGACATATTTTCCTGCTCCAAGATTCTTAACATCTATTGAGACTGTCAGAGAATTAGAACATCACTAAATACAGCTGAAATTTTCAGTTTAGTGGAAACTGGAAATGTCTAATGATATGAAAAAGTTAATTTCAGAGGTTTTCTTCAAAATTTATTTTCTTTTATTTAATGTAATGTGGTTTTAACTTTTATTCTACTTTTTCACAGTATTATATAATGTGTAATTAATGACAGCATGCAACTACTTCTCTAAAGTACTCTTATTTAAATTACCTTTAAAAATCACAGAAGCAAGAGAGGCAAGTGTAATTTAGCAAGTTTAAATTTTTATCTTCTTTTTTATTTCAAAGTGTCTCCTGCTTTAATTTTGACACTGTCATAAATGCCAGAACATTGCATAAAAAGAAAAAAAATTTAAACTTAAACATTAAGTCCCTTCCAAACTGAATAAAGAAGTTCTGGAAGCTCTAAAAATATTATTTTTGTTGTAAAAGTGATAAACTGGTAACTTATATCAGATATTATGAAAATCTAGGTTTTTACAACTAAGTTTAGATTTTTATGAAAATCATACCTTCAGACAGTACAAAAAGCAAGAGTGAAAATAAATTCACACTGGTCTATTACAGACTACTCTTCTGCAGAGTAGTTTTCATGCAAGTTTTGTGAAAACATAGAGCTTTGATCTAGAGCTCTTTCCTCAGAGACACACTCATAGTTCCCACTAAACCTAAGGGACTTGTGCATATCATTGCATGTATAAATCTGCAGAAAGAACTGGGCCTAAAGTTTGAACAAAACAAAATGATCAGATGGCCAGGTAAATTATGGTGATGGAGGATATGACTAGGCAGGGATGGCTAAATTAATTCAATTGCTTCATTTTTGCCATAGGCAATCAGATACCACAGGTTAGCTCTGAAACTTGCTGCAATGCTAGTTTTTTATGTGTTATAGTTCTTCTTAGCTGTGTCTACTGAGAGGAAAACTGTTTTAGAGAGAAAATATCCATTTTTATATTTTTTTATGAAAATAAATATGGAATTGATTGCAGATTTGTATGTAGCAGACAATGAACCCATGTAAAACACATCAGTATTTATACAAAATAATATTTTAGAAAAATTTGTCATTTGTTAATCTGGAGGGCAGCAGCTGGCTGTGCAGGAAAGTTAAGAGAAGCTGGATTTTCATGTGTATGTCACCCTGATGAACAGGAAGAGTCTTCTAATGGGGCTAAATGAGCCTTGCACAGGCAGTCATCAAATGGTGGGCACGATGTGGGAGAGACAATCTCCTGCTCCTTTCAGACATGGCCTCCTGGCTTTAGTGAATACCACAAAAAGATACAGGTGGGAGAGAGGAGAGTACCAAGGCCCAGGAACTACCTGGGACTCCCAGTCTCACCATATGCAAAATCAGCTTTATGACTCCCGGGGGTTGTGATTCCATGGGAAATGCATTAGATCCCACTGCAGCTCTGGCATTCAGACCTGGAAAACCCTCTCCCCAGACAAGATAACATCTGCTGCTGCTGCAATTTCAAGGTGATGTGATATTAGTCAAGAAGTTTAAGTGGTAGCAGGCTGTGCAGGAGTAGAGAAAGTTCAAGTTTAAAGGCAGCTGTCAATGCACAACTGAGCGGGGAGGGGGTGGAAGAGAATTGTTACAGCTGCACATAATGGCATTTATTTCTAAGAGGAGAGGGTTGAGGTTTGCTGGTTTGGGACTTTTTAAAATGTAAATAGAACCTTAGAAATGAATTGCTGCCCTCAGTTAGGGAGCCAGTCAAGGAGCATTTCCTGTATGTAGTACCCAGCGAGAACTCCCGCAGACTGATGATGGCCAGGAAACTTGCAAGTGTGTCAAAGCTGCCTCTTCCTCTGCATCACATTTCATGTTTGCAATCTTATGGTGAAGAGAATGGAGAAGTGCTCTGACAGCACGAAATAACCCCAATGTCTCACACACACACTCTGCCCCTACAAAGTAGAGGCCAACTCCAACTCCACCATCCTGTCCCTGTTCCATATGGGACATAATTTGTATTCACCCAGATGCTAGGGAAGTTGTAATTCCAAGAAGTCTAGAGCATGGATTAAATAAGTTCTGGATTGTCTGTATGATCCTGAGGGCAGGAGAAATGCAACCCCCTGGGTGCTGCCATGAACACCTGGCCCCTGTAAAACACAGAAATCAAAGCAGGACCTTAAGGCAAATCCTTCAAGATGCAGGTATCTCAGGGACTGAGCATCCCTCTCATCCTGGCAATTCACACCACACGTATCAGCAAGGTGTTGCATCAATGAATCCTGTATTTCACCAAGATGATTTTTTAATATTACACCAGCACCCAAAGTCAGACATTTGAGCACCTTGAAAACACCTCCTGTTCAAACCTGGGCCTCATGGAGAGTCTGCCTCATCTCTCCCTTCAACTCTTTGGCTGGTATCCAGTTTTTGTGGGGTTTGGGGGTTTTCTCAGTGTCGGTTATGGGGTTTTTTGAAAGTCTAGGACAACAGAACAGGTCTGTGAAAAATATAGCAATGACTAATTTCTAATGAAAGGAATGTGCAGACTTAAGGAGTACATGGAAAGAGCAAGCTCTGGACTCTTTGTACAAAAAGGGGTATTTTTTCCTTGACTTCTCATGGTGTCCTGAGGAGATGGGGAGGATAAAACAATCTTTGTATTTTTTATTGCCACCTTCCCTATCTCTGGAAATTATGAAACACACAGACACTGATCCTTCTCTCACCAGAGTAAACCCACAATAAATCCGATGGTTTTGAGCAAACTGGTTACACCTCCCCAGCTGCCCCCTCCCCACAGCACCCTGGTGTCCCCGCCGTGCCCCAGGGAGCTCTGAAAAGCATTTGGCCAAGGGTGGGAGGAGGGGAAAGCTGAGAGGGCTCAGTGTTGCTGTGTTACGAAGTGACAGATAGAGCCAGCCAGGCAGTGCCCCGGCCCCGAGCACGATGATATTCATTTCACACAGCCCTTGCCTGTTCCAGCTGGAATGATAGGAGATGCAAACTTTGACTTCTGCGTTTGAAAGAGATATTGTTTGATGGAAGTGTGTGGGTGGCGGGTAAAACAAGCAGCTAAGTGTCAGCACAAGAAGCAAACATTCTCCTTCCCTCCCTCCCCAATGTAGTTTTTGACGTAATGAGCATTGCTCCCAATTTTCCTTCCAAATAGGCATTGCACCCGTCCCCATGGCAACTGTCATGCTCAAAAGATGTCCTGTCAGGAGCCATGAAAGGCCCAGAGACATTTGTATTAGATGGTCACAACCGTGCTAGCTAAGGCTTAACAAATACACCACGAGGCTGCATTCGTCAAAATGAAGAGCACAAACATTTGTGTTCCATTAAACAGAAATTAATAAGATTCAAATAGGAAGAAACCAAACTGGACTGGCTTTTTTGTGTATACAGCTGTGTTATGAAGTAATACAAGGAACCTTAGTATGAATAATGATTGCACATGTGCATTCAATTTATTTCTTCTACTTCTTGTATGGTCTCCTTTAACCCTTTTTCTCTATAGGTTTTTCAGAAATCAAACACAGGTTTAACAGCTGGGCAAGACAGGGATTTCAACTGCTCCTTTCACACTGCCGAGGCCCCAATAGCACTTCTTTATTTAAAGGCACTCTGGGTCATTGGGAAGTTGTGCTTTTGAAAAATGTTCACATACTTCATGATTGAGCACATGAAAATGGTGGTCTCAATTTTACCAGGGAAAAGAAGCAGCCCAGTCTCTAAACAAGGCGGGTTGTATCCGGAACCACTGTGCATCTTCCTGCCTCCCTTGGCCACAGAGAAGCGGAGCTGATTTATCCCAGCTGAGGATCTCGCCTCGGGTCCAGGCACTGAAAGAAAATAACAAAATAGAATCGTGTTTCCAGCTCAGCTGAAAATCAAAAGTGAAAGTTCGGGAAGACAGCAGAGCCTCCTCCCACGACAGCCCTTCTCCTGGCTCCTCATCACCAAGCATAACTTTGAGCAGTTCCTTTCACTGCTCTGCTGCAAGTAAACAACAAAAGTGGACTGTGTTACACAGCCTGACAATGACAGTCTGTACTTGGCTTTACTGGCCACAAAAGGCTGTGGTAGCTTTGCTTTCTCTGGTCAGCTTAACCTCATACTTTTTCTTGTAAAAAGGGAAAAAAAAGGAAAGTTGGCCAGGGTTCTGGTTCTGCCACAGGCCCAGGGCTGCTACCCAGTGTGTGTGGGTGTACCAGTGCCTGGACAGCCTCCATATCTGCTGCTTAGAATTATCCTTTCCCTGTTTTGACCTCCTAGCTTCCCAGGCAGCAGAAATAATCATACCAGAACCTGCATTTCCATCGCACAAGGTTTATATTCTCACAAGGTCTAGTTTTGCAACAGTTTGAATGCATATATATTTGTGCCAGGATTTTACCTTCTCCTTCTCCTCTCCTTTCCCCCTTTCTCCTCATACTCCTGTGTCTTTCTTTTTGTCCCTGAAACTCCTGTTATGCCCCAATCCTTCATCTTCCTGGCTGAACTGAATAACAGCCTTATCCAACATTGGGCAAGTGGGAGGAGAGGCAGCAAATGGAAAACATTTCTCTTTCTGGCTGTAATTGCAAAACAGGAATTTGCTATTCCATCAGCATGCACATGTCCAGACCTGGACTTTTGTAGAAAAGCCAACTTTCACTTAATCCTTTGGATAGACAGCTATTTTTCTGGAGAAGTTTCACCAGTCCCCCATATTCCCATCCCTAGTTTCCCCAAGACTTCTGTCCTGGTTCAGGGCAAGTTTGGGAGGAAACTTCCAAAGGGGTCCCTCTAGAAAGCAGAGCGGCCCCTCCCCCAACTGGTTTGGGAAAAAGATTTCCTTGGAGAAAAGTGAAAAAAACTGTTTATTTAAGAAGCAAAGTATTCACAAGCTGAGAAAATGGATAATATTAAACAACAAAACTTCTCACTGTTCTGAAAAGATGGCAAATTCAGGAAGTCTTCTTCGCGGAGTTGTAGCTCGGCTCGCTCAGTCTCTCATCAATCTCTCCTGGGCTGGAAAATACTGCGTCCTTCAGGACAGGACAACAACCTAAAGAGACCAACAGTCTTCCCCAAACCAAACTGCTGCAATAAGCAACAAGCTCTGCTCAGTTCTGGGTGACTATAAAACAGCCCTGGCATAGGCTGTTGCATCTCCTGTTGTTTGCTGTCTAGTCGCCTGAGATGATGGGCCCTCTGCCCCTTTTATGAAGCACTTTCCACCTTCTTGAACATCTCCAGATTCTGAAGGCACCCAGCCTTGGAGTAAGACAGGAAACTTAGTCCACAGCACATGTTTTAAATTGGAAAATTACTACTTGCTGAAACAAGAAAATCTTTACTACAATTAGACCTTTCCTGAAAAACTCCTGTTCAGAAGCTCAGACCAAGCTTCCCTCCAAAGAGAAAGAGAACTCCTTTAGAAGCACATCTTGGTGTAGCTGCTTAGCTGGGGGTTCAGACATCTGGCTCAAGCTCTGCCCCCAAACCTTGACAAAAGAGATTTAAGCAGTGTCTACACCCTCCAAGGTTTGTGCTTCAGGAAATCATCAACTATTTTAGTGTGTGTTAAGCACACTGTCTCTCCTCTGAATATTTCTGAAAAATAATTAACTGGGAATCCACTAAAACAAAGATTTATTTTTTTAAAACAAAATAAGTGGAAAAAAAATTTCTCAATTTATCCTCTTTATATCCTTTCCTTATCCAGCATCTTCAAGGAGAATAACCCAATATTCAGTATTCCCATGTGGAATTTCCTTCTTCAAAGAAGAAAAACAAAAATTTCAATTTTCCTGCTAAATAGCTTACATGCCTAACAATATGTGTTATGATCAATTCTTGCCATATTCATGAGCAAAAGTCACAATAATGGGTGTGACTTTTAATGCCAAACCTTTCAGGAATATTTCATCTTTCCCAGCCCATATCCCTCTAAAAGATCACAAGGTTTCATGATCTTGTGTTTGACATATCACACATGCGTTATTTCAGCTCAGGCCATTGTTTTAGCGAAGTCTTGGAGCCTTTGCAGTCTCTAAGCCTGCATACAGAGACATCTTTGAATGATGTTTCTGGGCTAAAATCAGGCTTTGTTTTCTTATATTTTTGTCATTCCTCACCTGGACAACATTGTACATGACAGGAACCATCAACACTCAGGAAATGTGGTCCATGTGCCTCTTCAGCAATGTGAGTTACCATAAGTTTGTCAGGCTTATTCTTCCCTCTCTGGAATGTTTTCTGCTATCTTTTTTAAAAAGCTCAACATTTTAAACTTCAGTTAAAGAAGTAGAGGCAGAGAGAGATGACCTAGGAGGACCACAGTGATACTGCCCAAGCACACAGTACCAGGATTGAGAAAGCCAGAGCCTACCTGAAAGGTGATCCGGAAAAGCTTCACAGCAGCAAAAGCAAAAAGGAAGATCAGGGAAAATGCGGGCCCCCTGCAGAATAGGACAGAAGACCTGGTGACAAAGGACATGGAAAAAGACCACGGTAATAAAAGCTCTCCTCCTTGTCTTTACTGATAAGATAGACCTTCAAGAATCCTAGGTTCCTGAAACTAGTGGAAAAGGTGGGAACAAAGCAGAACTTCCCTTGGTGGAGAAGGACTAGGTTAGGGAGTATTTAAACAAAGCAAATGTACCCATGCCCATGGACCTGCCAACCTACACCATGATGGGGAGCTGACATTGCCATTGTGAGGCCAATCCTGATGGTCTTGAAAGAGTCATGGGTATCTCAAGAGACTCCTTAGGACTGGAGAAAAGCAAATTTCACTCTTATTTTCAAGAATGACATGAAGGAGGATCCAGGGAACTATAAGCCTCTCAGGCTCAACCCAGTCATTAGGAAAGTGATAGAACAAAACAATTTCCAAACATATTAAGGACAAGCCAGTGACTGGGAAAAGTCAACATGGATTTATAAAGGGGAAAATATGTCTGAGCAACAGAGAGTCTTCTGCAGGAGCTAGGCAGCCGAACTGGGGCTTAGGCAGGATACAGATACCAAACACAAAATTGCCTTTTTGCCATTTCTTTCTTGAGACTGCTCCATAAGAGGGATGGCATAATCTCTTGCTGGCCTCTGGCCTCCCTCATTTCTGAGTCAACTTCTTTAAATGAGCAGATTGTTGAGTCCAAAATATCTGTAGTCAAAGCTGAACAACATGAACTGATAAAAGTCAAACTTCACGAAAGATATTGCCTTGTGTGTATTAGCAAAAAATTCTACCCTTGCTTGCTTGAAATCTGTGTTTTATTTAGTTAGTCTACATGAATATGTGGTTATGGCTGCAGCATGAAAATTCTGGTAATAGTCTTTATAACAATGAATGCCCTGGCCCAAATATTTTCCTTTATGTCAGTGAAATTTCTGATAATTAATTTTGACACCTTGTATTAAAATAAAAATAAAGAGCCCTTACTGAGGTTCTTTAGCCAAAAATGTAGCATAACACTCAGAGAAGCTTGAATATTTTCCAGAAGACAGGGTTTTTTTTGTCAAAAAAGGTTTCCCTGATTTTACAAAATGGAAATGTTTCACAAGAATCTCATTGAAAGTTTGGCACTTAAATGTAAATATAACATTTAATTTTAGCTTTATTGAACTGTCCAAAAATTATTCTGTTCTGATCTACACCACGACGACCTCAAGGTTTTGAATTAAAATGCTGAATGACAGAGGTGGGAAGGTGAATAAAACCCTCTCACTTTCACACAGGACAAGAACATCTAGCAGATGTCAGGCTGAGAGCAAGGAAAAGGAGCTCTTGCATGTGTGTTTGTGCTGAGGATGTCCTTCAAACAGGATGACAGTAAAGGTTCAGGGGACAAATCCTAAGTGTGCTACTACATACAAAGAACCAACCCCAACACAGAAAGTGTCTGAGCCATGATTACTAGACAGTATTCTAATGAAGAAGTGCTGTTTTTTTGCTCTTTGATGTTTGGTACAGGATGCCTGGGTCAGAGCAAAAAGAACCTTTAATCTTCTGTTTCCAGGGAAGTAGAAGTAAGCTTTCTGACTGGTAGCAAAATTTTGTTTCCATCAGAGTATTTTCTGCACATTCTATTTTTATGTTTTTCAGGACAAAAAAAACCCCAAAACAAATATCACACACAACCGCTCACACACACCCCAACATTCAGAGGCTTTTATAACAAAAGATTGACTTTTTTTAGAGGAAAAACCCAACCTTTATCAAATTTCAAGTTTATTATGTACTTAAAAAACATAAAGGAGAAAATAATGAAACACAGAAGAAAAATTTTAAGCTCCTTTAAACCAGATAACACAATCAAACACTCTTTTTCTTTTAGACTGCACTGCTCATAATTCACTTCATTACTTCAACAGTTATTTCTGCAAAGTGTACCATGTCGTATGTAAGAAAACAAACAAATTCAATAACTTAGCCAACCTTAGTTTCTGCTCCCTAAATTTGTAGTCTGAAAGAATTTAGGTCAGGTGTACCCTCAGCTTTTAGGAGAATGGTCTTGTCCATTTTGCTCAGGGGACCAAGAGATTCCAGAAGCATGAAAATTACTTAGCTAGGGTCAAAATCCAGATTGGAGATGTCATCTTTAATTTTTAATGCCCTTGGCTTTTCCTATTGGCACAAGAATCACGATGTCTTACTATTGTGGAAAGTCTACTTCTTATTACTATAATGTGAACTTTAGGAAAAGCAACATGGTTAATCATTCAGTGACTAAGTATGAAAATCATTAGAAGGAATCTTTACAGTTTATTGAAACATTTGCTAACTACCATGCAAAGATTTACTAGCCCTTTAAAACTATGATTATTTTTCCAGGACATTGGAAGCTCTTTTAAGATCTGTTACAATCCAATATGCAATTCTTTTTCAGCAAGATTTCACAAAGTATTGAGCTATTTTTCTTTATGCTATGCCTGGCACGTATATGTAGCAAGTCTGCAAGTTTGGCTGTCATGAATATTTCTTGAGAAACAGCCTTGGACGGAAGTAATTTTTCTAAATTAAATAAATATGTTGTTTCTGATTTTCCAAAATACCCAAAGGAACTAGCTTACATTCTAGATCAATGGCCTGCAAAATTTCACCTTGAAATATGATGACTTTTTTTTACTTAGTGAAGCACAAAATGTCTCTGGGAACAAAGAAACTCTGCAGAGGATTGGGGCGTACAAACTTTACTTTCTCAGAAAGCAAGTTTTCTGATGGATTTTAATGGTGTTGATTTTCTGAATTTTCATGTTAGCTGACACTCAGAAGCACTTTGCACAGGTGTCTGTACAGTCAGTATTATTTTGCAATTAGCTTTCTGGGATATTTGGACTTCTAAAAAGAAATTCGGTTTGTTTGCTTTCTTAGGAAAAGGAAAATTCCAGTCCTCTAACAGATAAGGATTTAAGAGACTAAAATTCCAAATCATTTAGACATGATCCCCAAATCCTTTTTTGCATTGTCAGTTTGCATAAGAGGAGTTGAAGGCTCCAAATTAAGAAGGATAGGGGTAGGAAATAAAACCTTTTGAGGGCTCAGGTCTCTCTGAAGACAGTAACTCAAGTTGGGCTGGAAGCTCTGAGTACAGCAAACCACTGTGGATGAATTTCAAACACACTGACCAAAACCTTTAGGAATCAATGGAGAGATACAGGTTTAAATGAGACTTTAATGGCTTTGTTATAGAAGGGGGACAAGTGTGTCACAGAACTGTCCTCAATACCATGAAGCATTAGAAATGAGAGATGTGCATATGGAGGAAAACAGCAGCCCTGGATTCACCGATCATTCAACACCATGCAAGAGCAGCGAGGAACCAAAGGCAGAATGGGCTTCAGAGTGTTCGTGACTTCGGTGTTTGCTTGAAGATATCCATCACTTCAGCTTAAATCTCTCTGCAAGCAGGGCTCTGTCTTGTCTAAGATACTCTTCTTGTTAGCTTTGGCAATAGCTGCACAACTATCTCTCCTCTCAGCGGTCTGCCAAACAAAGGTAACTTGGATGTGCAGCAAGACTTGGGTCTGCTCCACAAAGTGTTATCCATAGAAACAGTCAGCAAGTCACACAGATGTGCCCAGAAAGGCTATTAGATCATCAGGATTGATTTCCCAGGATAAAATAGGCCATGTTTCTGTTCAGATTTTTTTGGGTTTGGGATTTTTTTTTTTTGTATTTGTTTGTTAGTTTTAAATTAAATTTGTTCCATATCATGTTTTCTACCTTAAGTTTCTCTGAATCACAGTCTTCCATATATACATCTAGCCTTGAAGTGAAGACTTTTGGGACAATAAATTGCTTTGGCTTTCCAAAACATTTTATTTAGTTGTACTTTTCTTCACTTTAGTCCCAGAATATCTTGTGATGAAAGAATGTGTGGCACATTCAAGTTAGTTATTCCCCTTTTTGAACAGATTCTGAGGTCTTGCCCTGTGCAGAATTTTTTCCCGCACTGAAATATTTTTCCTGGCTCATTTTTTAATATCTTCTTCAGTTTTTCAACATATTTTTATAAATATGGGATGACCAGAGCTGTACATAACATTCCAACATCTGTGTTCCTGCAGTTATGTACAAATGTTAAATTATATTTGTATTTCCAACCATATTGATTGGCAATATTTTCTCATCTATAATTCCCTTGTTACATTTGAGTGAAAAGTTTCTTTAAAGTTCCTTTTACCCATTGAAAAATGCAAATTGAAACAGACCAATACATTTTCTGAAATAATGTTACATCTCTGAAATTATTACAGCTGAAAACACATGTTTTCATATATGTAGGGGTACAAGGAGAACCTAAAGAACAGCTGAAAAGTATTGGGTTGGCATTTTAAAAACTAAGTATTTTAAAGTTTTAGTCTGAAATGTTTAATTTCAAAATTTGCTTCAGCTTTATTATAAGAACATTTTATACTTGAATACCAAATGAAATATTTCTATGGGGTCAAATAAAGTAATTTTTCAAACTATTGTGGGTTTTTTAAGTCATCAATCAAGACCAATTGAAAGAACAGAATAGCAAACTAACTAGGAAAGATTTCTGCCTTCTTTATTGATCATTTTCACTTCATTTACTCTATTTTTTTTTCTTAAAATTTCTGTCTGATGAGAGAACCTCTCATTACTGTTGTTTAGAGTTACCTATTTGCCTTCATGAATCCTGGCACAAAGTCAACATCTCAGCTATCTGAAATTATCTTGATACACTAAAATCTATTAAGCATCTCCTAAATATCAGACCCTAAGCCAAAGGTCACCTCAGATATATCTTCCTCTGGAAGAGGTGATTTTTAGCAGCCTCTGTAGGTATACTGCTCTGTAATACTCATGTGAGCAGCACCTAGCTCCTTCTGCTGCTTGTGAAGTGTCTTGTGGAATGATTTATTTCAAATGTCACTGGCTACATGTTTAAAAGAATTTTTGCCATCTCTAAACTATGAAATTCCTATA